AGCTGTGGTTTTGAGTATCTCTTCCAACCTATTTCTTTTGTTGTGTACTCTTATTTTTCTAAGAATAGGAAAATGCACTGTCAGGTGCATCTTTTAGTTTAGAGGCCTCTCAAAGTTTTTGATGTAAGCACATAATGCTGTAAACTTTCTTCATATGGTGACTTTCATTGTGTGCTATAGATTTTGCCATGATGTGTTTTCATTTTTAATAGTATTTATTATTCAATTTCCTTCTTGATTTTATTTACCCAATTTTGATTCAGAAGGGTGTTGTTTAGCATTTATAACTTTGTATACTTTCTGTCATTTCTATTATTGTTGATACCCAGCTTTATTTTAGTTATTAGATAAAATTCAGAATGTGATTTCAATTTCCCTGTATTTATTGAGACTTGCATTGTTTCCTAATAGGTGGTCTATTTTGTTAAAAAAAAAAATCCCATAGGCTAAAAAGAGCATTATATTCATTAATTTTTAGATAGGATGTTCTATAGATGTCTGTTAGTTCTATTGATTTATGATGTCATTGAACTCGAGTTTCCTTCTTTTGCTGAGTGACCTGTATGTCCATGAGAATGGAATTGAAATCACCACCATCACTGTGTTAGGGTTGATCTGTGGTTTTATGTTTAATAGTTTTCTTTTGTGAAATTTGGTGCTCCAATTTTAGTTCATATGTGTTTAGGATTGTAATATCCTGTTGGGTTTCTCCTAAATGAGGGTAAGTATTCCTATGTATCTCTTCTGATTAGTTTTGACTTGAAGTCTGTTTTGTCAAATATTAGAATCACTATGCCGCTTGACTGTTCCATTTGCTTGGATACTTTTTCCCATACTTACACTTTGAGGTGGTGTCTATCACTGGTCCTGGATCCTGTTTCTTGGCAACAGCAAAAAGATGGATCCTGTTTTCTGATCCAGTCTGATAGTCTGTTTCTAGTTGTTGGGAAATTGAGATCAAATGAACTTTATTATCAGTTAAGAGACACTATTGAACAATGTGTGTCAATTCCTATCATTTTGTTGATTTTATGGTGTCTGGAATTGTTTTTGTGCCCTCCTACATGTTTACCCTTTTCTTCAGACAGGAGTGTTCTTTCCAGTTTCTTCTATAGAGCTGGATTAGTGGTCATAAATTAAATCTGATAGTTTTGCTGGGAACAGTCATCTACATTGGCACCCACTGTCTTTCATAGCTCGTAAGAGTACATAGGTCTAGTCCCGTCTGGATTTCATAGTCTCCATTGGAAATTTATTGGTATTCTAATGGGCCTACCTTTGTATGAGACTTGACTTTTTTTCTTGTCATTGTAAATATCCTTTGTTTTGTACATTTGGTTTTTTGACTATTATGTGATGTGGGGAATTTCTTTTCTGGTTCCGTATTAGACCTTGATAGGCATCTCATTTCTTAAATTATGTATTTTCTTTTCCTTCTATACTTATTATTCCATAGGTTTGGTCTTTTTTTATAGAGTGAGTTCCCACATGTTCTGTTCTTGGGGTTTGGGGAGGGATTTGACATTTCCTTTAGTTGAGTGATCTAGTTCCTCACTTCGTCCTCAATAGTTTTACCTACTCCAATCTATTGGGGAAACTTTCATGAATTCAAACAAATTCAGAGGAATTTTTCATTTCAAGCTTTATTCCATTTGGCTTCTCTTCAGAGATGGTATCTCTTTACTAAATTCTGTTTTCATGTCTTGAGTTGTTTTTGTTATTTCATCCAACTATATTTCTACAGTCTTCAATTTGGCATATTCATCTCCTTTGAATTCTGGGATCATTTTTTTTCTGTTTGAATCCTTATCTTGTGTATCATCTAAGTCATTTTTCTCAGGGGACATTACAATGGCAGTTCAAACTTTTCATTATTTATGATGGGATCTAGGCATCTGGAATAAGGTCATTGGTAGTGTTTGTTGTAGAAATCTTGTCTTCTGTGTGGAGGGGGTGGCTGAAGCTCTGTGTCCTGTTATGCCAGTTTGTCAGATGATTTACCACTGACGCTGAGGGCTCAGTCTTTGGCAATTCAGTGTTGACGTTCAAGTCGGGCATCAGAAGTAAACTTGGCTCAGCTTGAGCTCAGTGAGATTTCTAAGCCCAGAGAAGACTTTCTGTAAAGTTAGAATATGTTCATAGCCCAGTTTCAGGCAACAGGTACTACTGGAGACGGACAAGCTAGTCTTGAATCCCTCTGTGAGGAATGGGGTGAGCGGAGGCAGGCACAGGGCATGTCCTCCTTGTGCCTATGGTGACCCTCCTGGGAGAGGGTTAGTCTTAGGGTCATGGGTATGGGTAGAGATGGCAGTATAAAGCTAGTGCCTGCCTGGAGAAGAGGCCAAGAGGGTGCAGCAGAGATAGGTGGGGCTGGAGGTGAGAGTCTAGACTCCCTGCCTAGGGACAAGGCACTTGGGACAAGGGATCTCAGCCTTTCTTAATTTTAAACACTGGAAAATTACCTATATATCCATTTCAGATTATGGTTGGTTGACAGTCAAGAAGACTAGCCAGGAACTACCCAAAGGGGGTAAAAAGAGAGAATGGAATCCAGAGGACAGGAACAGACTCTCTTTTCTCCCTGGCACCTCCTTGTCTTTGTTGTCTGTGACTGCCTGTGGTTTACAAAGGACGAGGAGGCCCAGGCTGGGTGCTGCTTACCATTGTCTCCCAGTGCCTAGCACAGGCACAGGAGTCACAAGCGGGAATTATGAAAGGAATGAGCAAACAAAGAGACTAATGCAGACACAGAGTGGAGAATGAGAGTCCCGTGGCCCGGGCAGCTCCAGCAGAGTCTGCTGAGAGAGAGCTGCCATTGTTTCCTGAAAAGCAGGCAGCCTTGGACATGACTGACCTAGCTGGGTGCCTGCAGTGAGGACATCCTCACCTTCCCTCACTTGTGGCAGTAATTGCTGTGTCTCCCGGGATCATCTGACCCTGTGTCACCTGATGAACCTCAACATTTCTGCCCATGGGGAACTCCCTTTCTTCCAAGTCACATGTGCCCCGTTACCCTCCTCTACCCCCACCCTGCCTCCATGTCTCTTCTGACCCTGCTCATGTATGTGTGTGTACGCGTGTGTACAGTATATGTGTATAGATATGTAAGGGTTTAAATCTAGCTAGATTTCTCATATGATAGAAACACAACGTGTTTATCTTTGAGCCCAGATTCTCTCAATAGTCTCAGTGCCGCCCACGTCCCTGTTCTCAGACACAAAGAACAGTGACACCGTCAGCCTTTACTTTCGTCCCCTGAGCTCTCCCTGTCCCATCTCCTCTGGTGGCCACCTATTTCCCACCCCAGAAGAAGAGCTGGGACATTCTGAGACTCTGACATGGAGAAATGATCACTTTTGGCCTCCGAGAAAAGGGTGCTTTTCCAGCCAAGCTCTCCTCTAACAGCTGGGGGGGGGAGGTAGGGATGTCATCCTTGTACATTCATCTCAGCTGTTGGCTGCCCAAAGGCTGCCCAAAGGGACCCCAGTGACTAGCTGGTCACTTTCAGGGATACATCCTAAGAATCAGGATGATGTTGAGGTTGCTGCCTTCACCATGTTAGGTACAGGTCTGTGGCAGGAAAGTGAAATCATCATCACCCCCAGCTTCAGTTCAAAGCTCCCAGCCAGGGCCCAGGACAGGGCTCACTGCCAAAGCTGAAGATCTGAGTTTGATTCCCAGGCCCCACATGGCATAAGGAAAAAACTGACTCTGGCCATTTGTCTTCTGATCTGCTACTACTACTACACACACATACCTTTGATCCCTAAATACCTGCCTGTAGGTGTGGTCAGAGTAACTGAATCTGTCACTCTAAAACTCAGAGGAAGTGATGACCCTCAGTCACTTTTCCTGCCACTGGAGACAGGGAATCGTGTGCCCCATACACAAGAAGCCATGCCAAGGACCAGTGATGTCAAGATGGGAGTGGCAGTCCAAACACCTCGCCTCACTGCACTCTGGGGAAAGAGAGGGCTCTGATGGCCCTGTGGTTGGGAACCCAGGCAGAGTTTTCTCTGGACTTACCTGGGAGGGGAGGAGTTGTAAGCAAGAAGCTCCCTGCAGGGGTGACAGAGGAAGGTATTCAGAAGCTGGCCCCCACGATCTGTGGTGCAAAGACTTCCGGTTCCCAGCTCTGACATGGGTAATTAATCTGCTGGAGATGGGGGTTACATTACAATTTGCAGAGTAAGTGAAGACTGAAAAATACAGGCTAAGTTACGCACACTGACTCTATGGTGTTCACCAGTTAGGAAGAGTTTCTGAGACTTAGGGGTGTCTATCACAATGGTGGGGAAACACACACATACACACACACAGGCTGCCCAGAAAATAACAGAAGTGGCACCAGCTATTGCCATCTGGGGCAATGGCACCACTGTAACACACTGCTTCCACAGGGAGCAGACAGTAGGACCCCAGGCCACGCCCTTCCACTCCCCTCCTCCCCCACATGGAGCCGGGGGCCACAGAACTGATAAAGAACCTCAGCAGAGAACATGGGCAGGACCCAGGCATGGGCGGGCACAGTTCATGCTTTTCCTATCTCCTGCCCCCCCCACCCAACAAACACACACTGAGATCCGATCCTGCTACCTTCAGACCCATCCTCCATCTCTGGATGCTGGCTTCATCCAGGATCACCTGGGAGTCTGGAGAAGTCATCGCTGGGGTCTTTCCCAGTCCATGAGGACCAATGCTGCCTCTTCTTGCCCCTGGCCAGAGGAGGATCCTTTGGTGTATATGCTGAGAGACTGAGCTTTGGGATTTGTTTGAGACAGTGCTGCTTTGTAGCCCAGGCTGGCCTGAAATTGACAATATAGCCATGCCGGCCAGTCCCCGCCTCAGCTTCAGAGAGCTAGGATTACAGATGTCCACCACCATGCCCAAGTGAGACCACAATGATTTAGATTTCAATAATAATAAATGACCAGAAACATTCTCTGTAGTGTCTCTGGCTCCGGCCCACACTCACTACCCAGTTCCTGCATTTCTTTTAGGAGAAGAATCTGGACTGGTTTCCTCGGATGCGGGCCATGTCACTTGTCAGCAATGAAGGTGACAGCGAGCAAAACGAGATCCGGAACCTGCAGGAGAAGCTGGAGTCCACCATGGGTCTGGTGAGGCAGCTATCTGGGCAGCTGGCAGAGCTGAAGGAGCAGGTCAGTGAGCTTCAGTGAGCTGAGGTGGGGGGGGGGGGGGCCCCGGGACCCCCCCTGCCACTGTGAGCACGGGGACCCAGAAACTCCAGGAAAGGAATTCCCCAACTGTGCTGTGCTGCGGTGGCTTCTGGTGGTTTCTCAGCAAGCAGGGACTCCCCCACCTCCTGTGCAGCATTCTCACTGGAAAGACAGGGAGGGGCCCATGTTGCTCTTGGTGATGGATCTTATTTCCTGCCTGGCTTTGGATTTCCAAGCTTGTTGGAAAGGCAGACATTCACTAAAAGCTGTCACTCTAAGGTCCCGATCAACCCATTTATCACACGATGTCCTCAGCAACCGTAAAACATGATATCGCCAGGCCCGTTGGTAAGCTGTTAAATGATTCCAGCAACAGATTGTGTTTCTTACAACACCACTTCCTGTTTCCTAAGCATGGATAGAGGAGTTGGTCTTTCTTCTCACTTCTGTTTCTGGTAGTTTACTTAAAAAAAAAAAATGCTTTTGCGGTGAATATATTCTGTGTGGAACCAGACAGTGGGGTTCTTGGGGTGAAAAAAAAATCAAGGAAAGCAGCTGAAGGCACACACTTTCTCTCTCTTTCTCCAGATGACAGAACAAAGGAAGAACAAGCAGAGGCTGGGCTTCCTTGGATCAAACACACCCCATGTGAACCATCACATGCCACCACACTGACACCATGGGGGCACGCCGTGACCAGCCTTTCATCAGATGCCTGCCTCGTTGCTGAAGGAAGGATGAGATGGAGGGAGCAAACAGTGGCTATTGTTGAGAAGCTAAAAACAGCCAAGTGCCAAGATGCTGAGCCATTGAGCTCCCGGAACAATCCGTAACTGTGTTTTCACGCTTGAGAAGACTCAAGCTAAAAAAACCAGCACAGGGCACAGACTCTCAGTGCAGCAGGAAACAACCAGGCTGGGGGGGAGCAGCAGACTGCTCAATCGATGGGCCTTGGGCTGGTCTCTCACATGCTGTCTGCAACCTGGAGTCCGGTTAGATTTTATTTCTTCAAATTGTGGCACACAGGTCAGAGACGAGAAGCCACACTCGGCTGGTGGCCGAGTCTGACTAAGAAAAAAAATTTTAAAGATTAAAAAAAAACAAGACCTGAAAAAGGAATCTCTGTTAAGCTTCTGAATCTTACATGTAACCGGACAGTTTCTTCACGACATGAAATGTGACGGGCTCAGAGCTCTACACGCTTGGTGTGCTTTGAAGGTTCACACCCCACACACGGAAAACATAACTGGAGCAGGGTCGCTTTCTCCCGGATTCTGTGCAGGGCTGCACAAAAGGGAGGTTTCATAGAACTGGCTAAGAGTGCGCTTAAAGTCACGTGAATGCCAAGATCATGAAAGTGGAGAGGCTTGACCAGGAAGCAGGGTTGAGCACAGATGCTATTAAAATATACTGGTATTAATAAAGGAAACACTCAAAGGGACAGAGAACATTGAGAAATTCCTCTGGTGGTTTTGCCTTTCACAAGCATGGAGTAAAAAGCAAGTTGATTTGTACCTGTGGTGCCTGAGGACCTGAGTGTTTGCTATCCCTGCAGCGGTGGGAGGGAAATCTAAGGACTATATTGAATACTCAAGAATATGCAGGCTTTCAATGGCTGTTACAGTAACAGTTTGTCAAAGTGTAGGCAGGATGGAAGTTCCTTCCCCCAAACTGTTTCCATGTTGAATCTTGGGACCAGAATTTATGTAGGGAGAGAATAGCCTGGGTAGATACATTGTTTTTGGAGACTATTTGAGGCGTTAGAGACAGAGATGAGGAAAGAGTGAAAACTGTGGTGGAGGGCCACCAGCCATGACACTACATTCTGAGCCTCTCAGCCACCAAGGGCCACGTGGGGTTTGTTACAACAACGTTTAAAGCTTTAGGGGGCTTCAAGGCAGCTTTAGCTGTTGGCTCCTAATAAATAAAATCCTGGATCTATATGGACTCACTGTGCAGCTGGGAAGCCTGAGTGGATCCACCTTCTACTTCATGGGTCTAGCCTTGGGACCCAGTGAGAGGCACTGAATTTACTCAACCTGCACACACTAAGACCATCCTAAAATAAGACATGCTCTTGGACAGAGCAGGACTTCTCTTAGCCTGAAGTTGGAGGCTGCTGACACCCATGACCTAAAGTGTTGTGAGCTAATTCAGTGCAGCACTGACCTTTGGCCCTTGTCAGGGATCTGCTGCAGTTACCCCTAATTCTTTGATAGAACTTTAACGTATAATTACCAACTTTTGTCTAATGGTGCCACCAAAATTAGACTGAGGCAGCCATTTTTAAAAACCCAAGGCTATCAATGCTGTGACAGTCTTTGATAAAAGTCCAGTACACTGGGCAAGAGAAAGGGGCGGAAACTGCTGTGTGGTATGTCTGACCTAACGTCCAAGCCATTACAGCAGCTCACTGTCTGACACTATCTTCTCCTGTGGGAAATACCCAGAAGAGATTTCTCCTAATAAGACTCTCACTGTGTCAATTTTTTTCAGCTGCAATTTTTCTTTCTTTCCCCTCTACAAGATAAAGACTATAAAATGAAATTTTTAAAGAAAAGCAAATGAAACAAAAGGCACTTTTCTAGGACATGGAATTCATAAAGATATTTAAAAATGAGGAAATCTGAAGTCTGGTGAGAGTTTTATATTTGTTATGTGTGTTTGTTAATGCAAACTGGATTGTTTGAAGTTGAGTATACTTGGTATTCTCATATGTATATAGCAATATTAAAAACACAGTCACCTCTGACTTCTGTGCTAGGGAGGGTTTTTCTTAATATTTAGGTTATTAAAATCCATATTGATTAAAAGTCGCAGCTCCCACTGAATAATATTTTTAATTTACAAAAGGGTTTGCTCTCCTGTGTGTTCCATTCTGAGGCTAAAGAGTTTAATGAAAGATGTTTTCTAAATTAAAATAATCATTGGGGAGTAGAGATCTTGCACTATCTAGAGAGAATATTGACCAGTTGTGTGCATGCAAAGATGGTATTTCCTACCCTTTAGAAAGTTAAGTTACAAAAGGGCTTATTTTCCTCAATCTGCCATTTTTTGCCTGTGGATAAAGATTGCAATTTTTGGTAGACTATTGATAATTTCAGGGAGCTAATTCATTTGAATCAATGCTGATATTGTGTTGATCCCCGTATCTCCAACTCACAGCTCAGGCTTTTGACTGTCATTTAATTACCAACTGTAACGTGGTATGACCCACCCTGAGACTGAGTGTGAGTAAGGAGGCCTGGAGGTTGGTGATGAAGACTAGAGAGGGGACTTCACTTCCCAGCATGCCATGTAACCGGGAAAGAAGCAGCTCACCTTCAGGGACCCAGTCGCTTGAGTAGGTCAACAATGCATGGGGTTGATGACATCACATCTCAGAGCCTGTAACCATGCAGACAGCCACACTGTGGAAGAGTAAACAGAAAATGGCACATTCCTGACAGCCACTTTAAAGCTTTGTTGAAAGATTCTATCCTGGAGATCCCTTCCAAAATAGTGTCAGATGCAATACAGTTATCACCTGGAGGGAGCGGGCATCTTCAACCCAGACACAGATGGCTGTAGGAGCCAGGCAAAGAGCTAGCAAAGCTGTGCACATCTCTGAGGCTCCTGCCCTGAGCAGGGGTGGGGAGGCTATGTAAGCCAGGCTAAGCTTCTATTTTCAAAATTTGACAGCCAATTCCAGATTTCAGAAAATGCTGGAGGCTACCCGAGGCCCTGTACTCACTCCTCTGCTGCCGCTTTGAAATAAGGATTGATAGGACTCCTGTGTAGAAGACGACACCATGCTCAAACCAAACAGAACTGAGTGCATGTGAAAACAGAGCTCTTGTGATCAGCTCTCCGTCACCTCCCTGGAGTGTTCCCACAGACTCAAGCAGTTCGTGAAGTGACTGTGCCAGTTCTTACATCAACAAATGGATTCTCTTTCCTCTAGCAAGAGAGAATGTCTATCTTGTCTTTTAAAAAGGTGATTTTAACATACTGTCAGGGACTGGATAACTTATTAGTTAATATTAATAAAAAGAATTTGCATCTGGTGTGTGCCTTACTCATTTGTTGCCATGTTTCTGGAAAACAGCTCTAAGGTATGGAGAGGCGTCATTATTACCAACATCTTCCACAGCGAGACTGAAAGACACAGGAAAACTCACAGGCCATGGTCCCAGATGACCCGGTGAGCCCAGAGTTTTATTGGGAACTGGCCAAACCTTCAGTTTCCTCACATATACTACTGTATCTACACGTTAGACACCTGGAAGCACTCTGTGGACCCTGATCCTTTGGTCGTCTTGGAATCTCTGGGTCAATATTTGCTGTCCCCAAGGACAGGGCTCCTTAGATCAGTGGTTCTCAAACTGTGGGTTGTAACCCCTCTGGGAGTCAACTGACCTTTCCAAAGGGGTCTCCTAAGACCACCCCGCATACCAGATGTTTACATCACGATTCATAACAGCAGCAAAATTACAGTTATGAAGTAGCAATGAAAATGATTTTATGGTTGGGGTCACCACCCCATGAGGAACTGGATTAAGGGGCTGGCTGCAGCCTTAGGAAGGTTGAGAACCTCTGCCCCAAAACAGAACTCAGCCTTCTGACAGCTGACATCCACTCAGGTGGTGTGAATCACATGTAATCTATGAATAGATTTCTTTGATGTGGGTATTTTCCAGTCCCTGGAAGCAGTGTGGCAAGACCTGCTTTGATTTGCTCCCATCAGAGAAAAGGTGGCTGGGTGATGGGAGTGGGGAGAATAGAAAATGAGTTCCTCTTCCAGTGAGAGTGACCAGCACCCACAGTAGGACTATATGTGCAGAGGGACTTCTGGCCAAATCCCAGGCCACAGCCTTTGTCTGGTCAACTGCCTATTTTGAGGAAGTCTGGGAGGGCTTGGGATGGGGGTGGGGAAGGTAGAGGGGATGAGGAGAGGGGAGGGGAGGGAGAGGGAACTGGGATTGATATGTGAAAGAAGCTTCTTTCTAATAATAATAAAAGCATCTATTTTCAAAAAGAAAAAGAAGGAAGAGGGAAGGAGGAGGAAGAAGGAAAAGGAAAAAGGAGAAGGAAGAGAAGAAAGAGGAGAAGACGAAGAAGACGAAGACGACGAAGATGACGAAGACGAAGACAAAGAAGATGAAGATGACGACGAAGAAGCAGCAGCAGCTACGTGACAGTGTCTCTCTCCTGCAGACTTCACCACCACCCGAGAGGCCACAGCATTGCAAGAGTCTCGTGGCAGACAGACAACCATGACCGGAGTAGGCTTTACCGAAACCCTCTGGGGGTTTTGTTTCTTTTTTGTTTTTTGTTTCTTTCTTTTTTTTTTTTTGTGGAATTGCATGTACTCCAGCCCAGGACTAACGACAGATAAAGGAGAGGTCCACTGAGGGCTGGAGAGCAGAAGGCTAGTTCATGGTCGCACAGCCAGCATGTGAGCCAAGAGACCAGGGTAAGCCATTGTTGCACCTGTCACCTGCTCCCTCTTAAGTGGCCACTGCTTAATGCCATCTGTTATCCAAACCTCATGAAAATATCTGTAAAATAACATACACAACCATACAAACAAGGGAATTCTGGGAAGTGTTAGCTAAGCTAAATTCATGTAACTCCAAATCATCACTCCGCGAACAATGATTGATGCTTAGTTTTAACTGATAATCTAGGATGACTTGAGAATAGAGTCTCAATGAAAGAATGTCTAGATCAGGTTGGCAGAGCATTCCTAAGGGGGGTTGGGTTCCTTGGTTGCATTAATGGAGATGGGAATGTCTGCTGTGGGTGGAACCATCCCCTGCGCCAGGAGAGGAGCAAGCATGCACGCAATCATTGCTCTCTGGTCCTGATTAAGGATGTGGTATGACCCACTCCCTCAAGCACCAGCTGCTGTGACTTCCCTGCCATGACAGTTGAGAAGCTGGAACTGCAAGTGACAAACTCTCCACTCTCCCTCCTCTAAGTAGCTCTGATGACACAGTTATCACAGCAACTGGGAAGGAAGCTAATACAGTAATACCACTCACCTCCCAGCATGCAACGGGCTACAGGTGCGATGGACAAGCTATGGCAGCAGAAAGTCCTATACGACTTCCCATTCTCGACTACCACGTCAGCCACTGAGGCTAAGACAAACCAGCCCAAAGACCATAGGGCCTTAAAGATGAATGGAGGTCAGCTTGCACACACTGAACATGGAAATGCAAGGGCTTTTCTCTTTTGTATCTGTTGTTGTTGAAGAAATTATATCAGGGTTTAACTTGTTATTGTTTCAGATCCAGCCTAGATAGCTGTCTCAGTCATGATTCTATTGCTGTGAAGAGACACCATGACCATGGCAACTCTCTTGAAGGGAAGCATTTAATTGGGACTGGCTTACAGTTTCAGAGATTTGGTCCATTATCTGCATGGTGGGAAGTGTGGTGACAGGCGGTGACAGGCAAACATGGTGTTGGAAAAGGAGCCAAGAGTTCTACATCTGGATCCACATGGAGCAGAAAGACAGTGGGCCTGGCTTGAGCATTTGAAACCCCAAAGTCTGCCTCTATCAACACACCTCCTCTACAAGGCCACACCTCCTCTACAAGGCCACACCTCCTCTACAAGGCCACACCTCCTCTACAAGGCCACACCTCCTCTACAAGGCCACACCTCCTCTACAAGGCCACACCTCCTCTACAAGGCCACACCTCCTCTACAAGGCCACACCTCCTCTACAAGGCCACACCTCCTCTACAAGGCCACACCTCCTCTACAAGGCCACACCTCCTCTACAAGGCCACACCTCCTCTACAAGGCCACACCTCCTCTACAAGGCCACACCTCCTCTACAAGGCCACACCTCCACCAACAAGGCCACACCTCCTCCAACAAGGCCACACCTCCTCCAGCAAGGCCACACCTCCTCTACAAGGCCACACCTCCACCAACAAGGCCACACCTCCACCAACAAGGCCACCCCTCCTCCAGCAAGGCCCCACCTCCTCTACAAGGCCACACCTCCTCTACAAGGCCACACCTCCTCTACAAGGCCACACCTCCTCTACAAGGCCACACCTCCTCTACAAGGCCACACCTCCTCTACAAGGCCACACCTCCTCTACAAGGCCACACCTCCTCTACAAGGCCACACCTCCTCTACAAGGCCACACCTCCTCCAACAAGGCCACACCTACAACAACAAGGCCACACCTCCTAATCTCCGGCAAGTAGTGCCACTCCTTGTTGACCAAGCACTCAAACTGATGAGACAGAGTTCCTTTCTTCAATGGCTATGGAATTTGATCGGACAGAAGCACACTTATGCCCCAGTAGAACACACAGTGATACCCCCTGTGAAATAACTACACCATATTTTATTTTCCAATCATTCAGATTCCGAAAGCTGTTTTGTTAACTCAGTAATAGTCTAAAAGGAAATAAGGGTTTTAATGTCTTAAATATAGCTAGCAATATCCTAAAAATGAGCTGGCACAAAGTCATCTGTATTTCTGTGGGGTCATGGGACCGCTTATGAACGAACACCATAGCCAAGGTTCAGCGCTGTAGATAATTGTGTGTGAAATTTCTGTCCACACCAAAGAGAAGATTTTCAAGGGTGAAATTTTAATTCTGCAAAGTTGTATATACGCAAGCAGTTTTTACTGAAGATGAGGCCAGAGTGAGACACCTGTGGCCTTTTCCTGGGCAACATTTATTTCAGTATCAGACATAAAGAACCAGATAGCATCATATAAGGTGGAGAGGAAACACAGTCAGGCTACAGAGCTAACGTAATGGATGGGAGAGTAACACTAACTTCAGAAAACCGGCACAGTGAATGACCTACCCAGATGGATCTCCAAGGAAGCAAGGGTTAGCTCTGAAAGCTCAGCTGGAGAAATATACGATAGGGGAGTTCATGCACAAGTCAAACAGGCAGAGATTTTTTTATTTTAATACACTCTACTTCCATGCCTATGTCTTCATTCAACATTTATTTAGTATTTATTAAATCTAGCAAGAGCAAGATAGGAGAGGGGTCAGCCTGTGGGCTAGTAGACTCCAGGAGCAGGAGAGGATGGTCCTGTGGGGTGCTCCAAACAGGATAGCTACACAATGCTTGACTCAACTGAGAAACAAGAAATGAGGAGAATCCAGAATGCTTCTTTTTTTCCTCACTGGCTGGTGAAGTAGTTCATTAGACAGAGAATACAATATTAGAATAGGGAGAAGGGTGAGGAACAGAAGGCTGGTTTATCTGGGGGCAGAAAGGGTTTTATTTGCTTTAGAGACATCCAGAGGGGGAACATGTTAGTTTGGATATCTAGGCTGCACAAAAGTCAGAACTAGAAATACAAAAGTTAAGCATCATTAAGCATTAAGGCATGCCTGGTGATGAGACCAAAGGAAAGAAGAGTGCTAAAATAGTGAATGAGAGTTAAGATGGGGAGTTCAAGGACAGACTATAAAGAAAATCTACAAGAGAAGTCAGAAGTGGAAAGCTCCCAAGTCAACAGCATTGAGTCTCGGGTGTGAGTGTTCTGATGCCGTGCTAATCAGAATCTTGTATGTCTACTTCCTGTTTTGAAACACACAGTAACTACAGAGTAAATAGTGTATAGCATGTATTATGAAAGCAGACTGCCACAGTCACATGTAACTAACATCATTTTTAAAATAAAGAATGCTGTTATTGCAGCTTTCTAGGGGTGGAAAGATGGTCTGACTATTGACAGCACTGGCTGTTATTGCAGCTTTCTAGGGGTGGAAAGATGGTCTGGCTGTTGACAGCACTGGCTGCTCTGCTGGAGGATTTGGGACCAGTACCCACACCGAGGCTCACAAACCTGTAATTCCACTTCCAGGGGATCTGATGCCCTCCCTCTGACCTGTACCAGACACATTAACTGTAGACATATATGCAGGCAAAACGTAAATAAAAACATCAAGAGCTTTCCATCTGCACCTTGGGTGACATCTGAGACAGTCTCCTTCCAGAACAGATTAGCTTGGGAACAGGTTAAAGGGCAGAACTAGAGAAAACTTTGGTTCTCCCCACAGTTTG